AAAAATCTGTTTAGTCGGCCCGTAGGCCTTGCCGTGTTGAAGTTGCTCAGGGATATCCCATAATAATCTTTAATGCATCTCAATAGGTCTTGTCAGTTGATCTCAGTCGGCAATGGAAAACTTGACAAACTTACATTTCGCTCAGCCAACAGAATATTAATTAAAACAGAGTTGACGGAAAAGATATTTTTTCACTGAGAAAAGTAACGTATTACTTCATTTACACAGAAATAGCCCTATGCCCCGATTCTTTCCAGGAATAAATGTTTTCATGTAAGAGAAATGATTGATCCAAAGTCGCGATTGTTGACCATTGTTGTGTTACAATGTGACAGTTGACCTTTCGGGAACTGGGGCAAACAAACGCCAATCATCTTATGGACTAGCAGCTTTCGATTGCTTGCCTTTATTATCATGGAATCCCAATGGAATGATTCCTTTGTGAGGTTAGAAGATGGCGAGAGAAAGGGACAACAGTGTAAGTCTTTTTTCTTTAAATATGCCATTCCTTTTGCTATATATTTTCCATTTGTTTTCGGTTTTCCCGCTTAGATTCAGTTCAGTGTTTTCACAAATATACAGGGTATTTAATTATTGCAGAGACGGAGCAATTTCAGATTGACTCAGCCGTTCAAGTACTGTAATTCGGAAAAATTGTCTTTGTTCAAATGTCAAGCGTTAATTCCTTGTGGCAACATTTCACAAAATATGTTTTATAAGGTATTTGTTGTTCATCACGCAGTCAAAGTAATGGCAAGCTGCGCTGTTATAGCTCATTGAATTTCAAAACGTTTTACATCGCAGTAGCATCTACGAAATGTCGCATTTTGCTAGTGATTTTCACATTTTTTTTGAAAGAATGCAAACCGAACTCTTTTTTGTTCTAAACGAGTTTCATGTTTCCACTGATTGCAAAACGTTTCACTGTCAGAAGATAGGTAACCACCGCTAATAGACACTGGTCGTTGACTTTATTTAGATTCACAATCATGCATGCTGTGTTTATGAAATGAAGCATTTTCTTGTTTTATTATTTTCCATAGGCTAGCACCAAGATAGAACTAACCCTAGCACAAAGTGTTAAGAGACCCTAAGCCCTAAGCCCTAAGCCCTAAGCCCTAGCCCTAGCCTTAACCCTAAACCCTAGCACTAAAACGGTAACCCTAACAGTAAATGCTAACCCTAGGCCAAGGGTTAGGGTTTGCTTTAAGGTCTAACACTAGCCGTGGGGTTATGTTACCTTTACTGTAACTGTCAAGTTATAGGCTCATTTTTCTTTAAGGCCTATGTTCATCCATTTAGTTTTGCGGCCCTGTATTATTGTTTTGAAGTCACCGTTGTCCTAATGTTTCTTTCTTTTTTTCCAGAGGACAAAGTGCAAACCAGCTAAAAAAAATGTACCGGGCTATGCTCTTCTACTCAATTGAAGACGACACGCAAAAATTCGGGCGCTTTTGAACAAAAAAATCATTTTTCACCCAAAAAAGTCACTTACGTCGGTCTTGCACCAAGCCATTCAATTATCGGCTGATAGTTGCAACATGGAAATTTGATGTTCTTGAAACAAATATTTGCCTGAGAAATGAAGCTATCCATTCAGTATGTATGCTATCCATTCGCAGAATCGTCTCTCTACAGATGAACAATATGGTGTCATGTGACCAATTTAAACAAATACGAATCACAGAAAATTTAGTGAAGTATAATGCATTTTCTTAACTTATGTTACTCTAAATTCTAGGATTCCTTTAATCAATGAAGGTAATTTTTGCTTAGGGACCTAAGATCTACCTAACCCATTTATAATTAGTAAGCTTTAAATGTGTTTTTCAGAGCTCATGTCAAATACATCAGCACTCAGGCCCAATGAAGGCATCAAAATGCCATGTTCCGGGGTGTAAAACAATGACTCCGAGAAAGGACATGAGGACACTTCTATATGATGCTGCCAAGTCTCACTATGACTTACAGCATGGCGAAAGACAGAGATTGCTGGCAACGATGAAAGCAAAGGTAAGGAGTCAAATTGGCATTAATTAAAAAACATGAGTGACAGTAAAAGTAAGATTACTAAAAAGAAAACACAACAACATACAAACACTTGTGCAGGTACCTGATAAGAAGGATGTGAATGAGAAGGAAGATATAGTAATGTTGTTCTCACAGCAGATCGAAAACTTCCATGCTCATTTCACTGCTTTGATGGAAGAGATTGGATCCACTGACAACCAGACAGTTGAGACAAAATGGATACACCTGGAGAGCAATTTTGACCAAGGACCTGAATTTGTTTCTCCAGCTGGCTAGTGCTACCTTTCCAGTCACAGTGGAGTTATGGTGAGCAGATCTTCCTAAATAGTGTCATTGTAAGCTGCTAGCAGTTAGATTTAGTACTAGACTACAAGTAGTCTCTCTTTTTGCTCAAAAATCCATGGGGAAGAACACAAAACAAGTGAGCATGTGAGCGTGATATATGAGTGCCGAGCAGCACGCTCATGTTATTATGCGTTCTTTCTTGCATTCTTCCCCACGGATTTTCAAGCAAAAGAGAGACTCCTCACAGTCTAGTCTAGTACATGTACATTACACTTGATTTAGCCACATTAGCCAAGAGTACTAGTGGGCAAGTTTCATATCTGTATAAATTTCAAAATAGGGACTTCAAGATAAGCTACGGTGAGCTGTTACTGTGGCTACTTTGGCCGCGAGGGACTAGGCTGACAACGCCGTTTTGTATGCAAAACTCAAACAGATTAAGATTTTGCTGTACAGCAATGACGTGTGTAGCCGCAACGTGCCTTAAAAGAATTGCTCCGTTCAAGGACACCAGGGACTTAATTCTACTTCTGTACGACATAGGCTTGATTATTGACAAGGATTTGCTTCTCCTATATCCATTTTACATCTCCCAGAACTTATATTTGCCTCTCAGCTGCTTTTAGAGCTGCCTGCAAATGCAACCACAAAACAAAATAACACCGTATTTAAAGTTCAATTTCAGCATGGGTAGGTTGTCTGTAAAAGGTGATAAGCTTAAAAAATACAAAAACAATGATTTTATCATTTTGAACATTAATAATTAAATGTGTCGCTCATGGTAGATGTTTACATCGTTCAAATTATCTTAGAACAGATTTTATGATTGAGTACTTTATCTCCTAACTAGACTGTTCAAACACTGAAAAAGCAAGAAAATGCAAAGTGAACAGCAGGCTCAAACTCGTATGATGAAGGGTCACAGCAGAAGGCAAGGCCTAACTGGAACATGCACTATGACATCACCAGAAGTGATCTTTACTACTTGCCACCTTACTACAGCCTAGGTGAAGTGTGTAAGACGGTGTGTACAAATTCTCTTACATTTTGGTTGAAAATAGTGATCTGAAAATATTTATGTATATAGTGAAGATATAATGAACTAGTTTTCACACATCATCCACATGGCAAGAACAAAGAGGCATGAAATATAGCAGAAATCAAAAAAAACATTCGTCTCTTGAAAATAATTCTGGAGGTGGGAGTGGTGGGCTTTGTCTTTTAACTACTTATTAAAAGACCTCCTATACCGAAACGTTTCTCTGAGCACGCTCTCAGCCCAAAGTGTAATCTTAGTGTTTCACTGTCTCCTCACTATAAAAAATCTTCCATCAAAGATGTTAAGCATGGACCTGAGGTATTTACCGATTTAAGGCAAGCTTCATCAGTAAGAGTAATAAATTGGCTTAAGAACCGTTCTTTACTGGCAAATCCGCTCCACTGTGGAGGATGCAACCAAGCCATGACAATGATTGAAAGATCAAATGTCCACGTCAACGGATACCAATGGTAAGTATAAAGAGAGGCTATGTTAACTTTAGAGTTGTATAATTTAAACCATAACTAATCAGCAGGGCTGCAAGCACGCTAGAATGCTGGGTGTTTCTAGTGAGAGTATAAACGATGCCTAAAGCACGAGCTACAGAATGATTATTCGGGAAAGAAAAAGTCCATAAGCAGTCTAAAGACATGCAGAATATGTACTTAGTATGTGCAAGCCTGCATGCTTCTTCTTTCCCTGAATGATTTGAACTAGCGAATATACGTTGCCTGTTTGACGAAATGTAAAAAAGATTGCTTGGTAGCCTGCTGCACACATGGCAGTATCATACGCTTCATGTTTGCTCCCCTCAAGCTCTCCTTCTCATTTGTGTCACCTACCAAGCTGGGTGGCATGTCACGCAAGTTGGGTACACATGTATTATATGTTAAACCATCAATATGGGTTTCATTATTCCATTGTCATACNAGACGGTGTGTACAAATTCTCTTACATTTTGGTTGAAAATAGTGATCTGAAAATATTTATGTATATAGTGGAGATATAATGAACTAGTTTTCACACATCATCCACATGGCAAGAACAAAGAGGCATGAAATATAGCAGTGGTGGGCTTTGTCTTTTAACTACTTATTAAAAGACCTCCTATACCGAAACATTTCTCTGAGCACGCTCTCAGCCCAAAGTGTAATCTTAGTGTTTCACTGTCTCTTCACTATAAAAAATCTTCCATCAAAGATGTTAAGCATGGACCTGAGGTATTTACCGATTTAAGGCAAGCTTCATCAGTAAGAGTAATAAATTGGCTTAAGAACCGTTCTTTACTGGCAAATCCGCTCCACTGTGGAGGATGCAACCAAGCCATGACAATGATTGAAAGATCAAATGTCCACGTCAACGGATACCAATGGTAAGTATAAAGAGAGGCTATGTTAACTTTAGAGTTGTATAATTTAAACCATAACTAATCAGCAGGGCTGCAAGCACGCTAGAATGCTGGGTGTTTCTAGTGAGAGTATAAACGATGCCTAAAGCACGAGCTACAGAATGATTATTCGGGAAAGAAAAAGTCCATAAGCAGTCTAAAGACATGCAGAATATGTACTTAGTATGTGCAAGCCTGCATGCTTCTTCTTTCCCTGAATGATTTGAACTAGCGAATATACGTTGCCTGTTTGACGAAATGTAAAAAAGATTGCTTGGTAGCCTGCTGCACACATGGCAGTATCATACGCTTCATGTTTGCTCCCCTCAAGCTCTCCTTCTCATTTGTGTCACCTACCAAGCTGGGTGGCATGTCACGCAAGTTGGGTACACATGTATTATATGTTAAACCATCAATATGGGTTTCATTATTCCATTGTCATACGTCATACGTCATTTTCAGCCTCTAGTTTTTGAAATACATACTGCATCTTGTGAAAATCTAACCGAACGCAGATATAAGAAGCATGTAAATGAAGAAAACAAACCATGACTCCACAAAGCAATACAGGCAGAAAGTTTTTGCACGTTTTCTGGAGTTTAAATGGAGTAATAGTGCTGGGACTACTGGAACAATAATTGCGGGAATTGCAATCATTGGGATTTCACTTCCTCTATCCTGAAGATCGTGTTTTGTTCTTGCAGGCTAACCACATTGCTATTATATACCAAACGTCCAGAAAACGATATATCTCTGATATGTCATTGCTAAAAACACAGACTAAGTAACTCTTCCCGGAACCCCATGGATAATCTTTTACCGAAAAATGCATTCTGTTTAAAGCTGAAAAGTGAGCCCTTCCGCTTGGCCATAGGAGATGAGACCGAGAACTAATGATATCCGTTCTAAACCCTTAATAGGGCCTCCAAAGGAATTCTGAAATATGTTTCCAGTTTGACACTAATTCTATTCCTTTAGGAGATGCAGCACTTGCAAGAAACTCAGCATCAGAACCAACAGTTTTTTTGCTAAGTGGCCAAAAATCCCTCTGGGGACCTTTTAATGATGAGTAACTTCTGGTCAATGGACCAGAGTCAAAAATCCACAGCTAACATTATGTCCATAAATAACAACCTAGTCTGAACTGTTTTCTGAAGGGTGGATGCATGTTCAGCAGACATTGCAACAAACCCTTTCATTCTGTTCGGGGGAACAGCTCTCGTGAAGTGCAATAAGAACAAATTTAATCAAACAGCAAAGGTCAGTTAGTATACATGTTTTGGTTACGATATTGTTCCTTTTCAAATTTGGTTGACTTCTTTGACAAATAGTTTCACTGATCAACAATCGTTAACTCTATTAGTGCAACAGAGAATGAAGAGCTCCTGACTTGTGGGTCTTTAGAGTCATTTCAACAGCCATGAGGCCTGCAAGGGGTTATTATGAAGTGGTGGTGAGTTGAGATCATGTGATGCTGTTGCCGATTCTTGAAAAAAGTCTGCAACCGGGCAGTGAAGTGTACACCAATGATTGGGAGCCTACAGAAACCTGGACCAACATCTGTCCAAACACATTGCTTGACATCACATTTTTGTCCACGCAGATAAGTCCCTGGACCCAGTAACTAGGGTTCATACTCAGGAAGCTGAATCTGCCTGGGCAAATTTGAAAGGCCCCCTCAAAGGGCGGCGCAGCTTCTCCCACGATGATCTCCAGGCCTATCTGGAAGACAGGATGTGGAGGCAATGGCAACGACTGGATCGCACCATAGCAAATATTTTACTGGTATTGTCACTCCAGTATAGAGACTATATTGTGTACTATATACTTAATTACTGGTCCTGAGGGAAACAGCTTTGTTTTCCTGAGAATGTTGATGTTTCCCAAGATGAAGTGAGAGGGAGGGTGGAGGGAGAAACAAAACTGTTTCCTAAAGGATCAGTAATTAAGTATTTTGTTATATAGTTGGAGTTAAGTGTAGCCTGTGTCACAGTAGTCTGCATGTATTTACTATTTACTATTTACATCTTGTGTCACAGCCACCCTCCCCTAAAGAAAAAAAAAGCTGAGAAGCGTCTACGATTTTTTTCCTTTCACAAAAAGTGCCTGTGACACAGGCTACATTCAATGTAAAGTAATAAATCAAGTAGAAGAAAAAGTAATCTCTGGTTAGCGGGAAAGCGCGCAATAATTTTGTAATAGCAATTTTTAATTTTGCAATTGTAACTGCAATTGTGATTACGTGACCCTAAATCAACCAATAAGAGTGAGCATTAGATTCAAATTAACTCCAGCTATACAACAAGATAAACAAAGCCAGCAACACCTGGAAGGCACTATGCTGGAACC